TTTTTTTTTTTTTTTTTTTTTTTTTTTTTTTTTTTTTTTTTCCGTGTCCGGCAACGGATCGCAACCCTCAGTGTCGCCCCCATACCGGACTGGGGACCGGCAACGGGATTGCAAGCCTCGGTGTTGCTCCCGCGCCTCGCTCAGCCAGCGAGTGGGAGCCGGTCCGTATGTGGGATCCGAACCCTCGGACGGGAGCGCCGCCGCGCTTCCCAAGCGGCGCACTATCCAGTGCGCCACCGGGCCGGCCCAATGAGATATTTTTTAAAACAGCAATGCGAGAGGCAGGAAGGGCTGCGCCAAGTCCAACTGGCTCAGTTTACTCCCATTCTCCTCTACCTTTTTCCTCGCCACCTGTACAATGAAATCTGAAGAGTGAAACGCTCATTTTCCAAGTGTCCCTCGCATATACGGATGGCCAGGAGACAGGTCAGGCCAAAGAGACAAAAGTAGGTGTCTGCTGCAGTTGGGGGTGGGGCTCTGGGGATGGGGCTCTGGGGATGCTCTTGTTTTCCTTACAAAAGGGGAAATATGACTGCTGCTGCACCTCTTCCCCCCAAACATGGGGGATGGAGCTACAGCAGCCACCTTGTGACCATGAGGCAGCAAACCAATATGCCACAGACAACAGAATGAAATGAAGGAAGGTAGAGAGTCTTTGATGGCATCGTGCAGCTGCTGGCTAGACAGGGATTGCCCGCCTTCCAACTTCTTACTGTGTGAGAAAAAATAACCATCATTTGCTCAAGTCGACATTGCCTCACTGTTCCACTAACTGTAGCCAGCTTCACTCCCAGTGGCTGGAGAATTGGACTAGCACTAACAGCTAACATTTCCTGGTTATCCTCCATGCCAGGTGCTCGGCCAAGCTCTTCTTACGCATTGTGTCCTCTACCCTCAAGATAACCCGATGACGTGAGTGTTGCGATTATGACCATTTAAATGAATTCCACTAACTGTAGCCAGCTTCACTCCCAGTGGCTGGAGAATTGGACTAGCACTAACAGCTAACATTTCCCGGTTATCCTCCATGCCAGGTGCTCGGCTAAGCTCTTCTTACGCATCGTGTCCTCTACCCTCAAGATAACCCGATGACGTGAGTGTTGCGATTATGACCATTTAAATGATAAAAAAAAGTGAGGTCTAGAGAAGACCACAAAGCTGGTTAGTGGCAGAGTCAAGGCTGGAACCCCAGTCCATGGAACACCAAGGTCCTTGCTGCACTCTGGGGTCTCCCTGAGATCCAGGCCCCCATCTTGGCTGTGCCAAATACTAAGTAGAGAGCCTTGACAAGCCGCTCACCCCCTGAAGCTCAATTTCCTCACCTGTAACATCTGTGAT